CATATAAATTCATGTATATGCATATATATGTATATATACATATGCATATATCATGATCATGATCATCATTAGTCATGATCATCATTGGTGTAATATATTATTGCTACTCATAAGCTATTTTTGTATATAATTACACCTTTGGAAATATTTGTTTATATATATAAGTTGTAAATAAAATTTGAAAGAGGGAAAGAGTTAAAAAAAAAAACCGTAAACAAAGTTGTTGTATTAACTAGCTATTTCAGCAGTATGGAATACTGGAGATGTTGTATGGATCTGGAGATGTTGTAGTTATTGATTATATTTGTAGTTATAGATATTGCCATTATTGGTATGGATGTCATTAATCGCTGTAAAGAAGTGCAGTTGTACAATAAAAAAAACAAATTTGATTTTGTTTCAATTCATACAGAGAAACAATCTGTTGGTATAAAGGACAAAGACTTTAATATTTATTTTGATGGTTCAAAGGAGACTGCTAAATATAAATAAAAACAAAGTGAATCACAACTTAAAAGTTTCATCTCACAGTACAAGGTAAAACCCCAGTTAATTATTCAATTTAATGAAGAGATGGACTCATGGGTAAAAGATGGTAAGTTGAAACTATGTAACAAAGATTAAAAAAAAAAAGAATGGATTATCCTGTTAATGGCAATTAAACAGAAAAATAAAGGGAAGATACAACCTATTTTTGACTGTTGCAAGTTGAATTAGTATGTTAGTTCAAAAAATGCCTTAAGTGACACATGTGATGAACCAATGAGAAGAAGGAGAATTAGTGGTTTTACAAAGAAATAAAATTACACGTCTTTGTAAAACTGATGCAGGCATTAGTGAAGCAACTAATCACTACATTAGGGCTTGGCAACCGGTGGAAATCACAACCGTTTAACTGGTTTTTTGTGAGTTTTCTTGAAACCGTAAACCGGTCGTTAATTATACATTGCTAAATAGATAAACTGTTTAAAGATTTCTTTTTTTAACAAGCTGACAAGTAACGTGGAAAGCACAAAATCTTGAAAATATATATAGTTTTAAAAAGCACTTTAATATTGCATTTAGTTTTACCAAGGAGATATAATGGAGTGGAGGGAGAACTGTGGAGAGTGTTTCTCAAGGAATAATCTTAGTAGTAACATGAAGTTTAACTTTTCTAATTTTTAAACAAAGTCTATATTGATGTAAAATTCTAAAAAGAATAACACAATAAAATACTTCTTTACATAATCATTACATAATCGGTGCTGTAAATCATTGGAAACGTACGTACTTACAATTTGTGTTTAAATCCAGCAAAAACATTACAACACAAAATAAAATCCTAGACAGATATAATAAGTTCTTTGCCAAAAAAACGTTCAAATTGTAAAAAATCTATAGCCAAACGGGAAAACAAAAGATAAGGTTCAACCAAGTACTAGAGGTTGTTTAAAATTTGACAAATTTATACCTTGCATCGAGGTATTTAAAAAGGATTACTTTACGTAGACCATGATTTTTTTGTGATTACTAATTGATATTTGGAACAGTTGTTAAAAAATTATCCAGTTAACTTTTGAGAAAGTAATCGATTTTGATTACAGCTTAAAAAGTTTATAAACTACATTTGAAAATTGTCCTTTTTCAACGCAAAGGCGTTTTAGATATTTTTGTTCATTGTTTCATTTCATTTGTTGCTTAACTTTTTGTTATGGTTGTTTATTTATTTTAATTTGAGATTGTTAAATACCAATTTCAAAATCGTGCACTCCATCTTTCATTATAAAAAACCGGTCACCCGGTTTTACAATTTGAAAAAACCGAAAACTGGTTTTTTGAAATTTTCTGGTTTTTGGCAAGCATTATCGATTATATCAATGATATAATTGATAAATTTAAAAAGACATCAGTTGAAAATGTTGTAAACCATTTGGTGTGTTAAGGATTGGTAACTAAAGAGCTGGAGTAATATGGTGCTGCATGAGTGATGGGTTTGCAACTATTTAGAAAAGAAAAGAAAGAGCTTTGTTGTTAACATGAAAACATCATTCCAAAGTCACAAGATATTAAAAATGAAAAAAGTAACACTTTTTTCAATATGTGGACTTTTTTTATCCTATTGGAAATTGGCTCAGAATTACCTGCAGTTTTATAAAACCCCATAAACAAAGAGATGGTTGAAATGATCTAATAAGAGATCAAGCTCAGTTATGGTTGGTTGAAGTATTGTGCTGATTAGAAGCTAGTGACCCTGTGAGAGGGTAATGGAATGCTGAAGGTATTTAAAATAGAGTAACATTGCTGTGTGATGCAAGCTGCATGGCAATTGAGTAGGACACAGTGGCATAATAATTGAGGATGCAGTAAAAGTATTAATGATTTCATGAAAATTAATACTGCCAAATTAGATGATGTGGTGTGTGGGATAAACCTACTACTCAATATTAACTGATTCAGTAGCTGCTCATAGATGGTTAAAGTATGCTGACTAAAATATATGGTTCAATCAAATGGATTA